GTTGTAACCACCATTCATTCAGCGCTGTCGTAACTTTGAATGGTCACTGAATGAATGGTTGTAGGTCAAAGACTATCTCTAGATGGCAATATCCAACTACAGATTTCTTTGATTGTGGTGAGCCGCCCAGAATCAGGTGGCATATAGGTTTAATAAATTATTATTATTATAAATGCAAATTATCTGTCAAGATATGCTTTTGTTCAACTGATCCAAATACCAAGAATGACCTTGATAGGTGAAAGAAATAAGGGAAGTGTATGGAGAAGTTGGGAGGGGGACTTCAGTTACTCTCACATTTACTGAATACATTCATACTCATGTGATGACATAGAAAAACAGATTTCTAAATACTCCAGCTGTAGAAGAGATGGTCTTGGAACCAACTGGACAAGAAACAGCTCTAAAGTTAATCCTAAGTGATGTCCAAGATCCAATGCAAGATATTAAGTGTTGTGTAACCAATAAGGAACAGCAACCATAATACTCTATCATTTATTATACATGCAAATGGAAATTGAGAACAGGGTAAAATATAGTCACATTTGAATACAAAAGGGGAAAATTCTAAAAATGGACTAGTGATAAAGAGGTGTGTCACTCAAATCACTTGCAGTGTTAGAGAACTGACAGGGAGACAATGTAACACCAATGTTTAAAAAGGAACCTAGGGGGATTTGAGAAATTATAGGTTGGCTATTATCTGTTTCAACAAAATCATTATTCATATTCAATCATGCTGAAGGAAAATCAGTATGGATTCCACAAAGTGAAATTCTGTCTCACTAAGCTGGAGTTTTTTAAGGGTGTCAGTAAGCACTTGGATGAAGGTGACGTGGTCAGTGTTGCATGCTTGGGTTCCTCACCAAATACTCCTGAGTAAACCTAATTATAATATTATAAGAGGACCTGTCTTTTTAAGTACTGCTTAAAAAGAAAGTAAAAGTAGGAATTAAATGAGAATTTTTCCTCTGTGGAGGGAAGTATGTAAAGAATTTCTTAAGGATTTGTGCTTTTTCATTTTTTAAACTTGTTCATAAACTGCTTGAGTTAGGATTAAGCAATGAGGTAGCCAGGTTTGTGGGTGATAAAAACTAACAGTGATTGTGAACAGCTCCATAAGAATTTCTTTGAACTGGGTAAATAGTCAGCTGGCAAAAGCGATTCGGTTTAAGCAAATGTAAAGTGATGCACATTGGGGAAAAATACCTGTCTTCATATGCACGTTTATGGGATCTGAGTAACTGAGTAGCTCAGTGAAGATTTCAACTCAATGTACTAAGGCTGTGAAAAAGAAAAAGTTTATTTTAGGGTTCATTAGGAAAGGGACTAAAATATTGTAGTAACCTTATACTTATCTGTGGTATATTATCAACTGGAATAATGTATACAGGTTTGGTCACCACATTTGAGAAACTATATACCAGAGTACAGAAGGAGGCGAACAAAATCACCAGGTGCGCAAACACCTTTCTTAAAAAAAAGGTCTAGATGTTTAGTTTGGACAAAAGGGTGGGGGGGCATAACTGAGGTGTATATAATCTGACATGGAGAAAGTAGACAGGGAGAAATTTCTCTTTAATAATATTAAATTTTTAAAAATTCTGCCTTTGAGTCAGTTTTTGACTCCTGGTGACTGCCTGGACAAATCCTTGCAGTTTTCTTGGCAAGATTTCAGAAGTGTCTTGCCATTGCGTTCTTCCTAGGGCCAAGAGAGATAGACTAGCCCAAGGTCACCCAACTTGTTTTGTACCTAAGACAGGACTAGAAATCATAGTCTCCTGGTTTTTAGCCTGATGCCTTCACCACTACACCAAAGTGGCTCTCTTAATCACATTAGGGCAAGAATGATCCAGTAAGCCTGGAAGGAGATTCGGAACATACAGGAAAAAAGCACTTCATGCATCTCATATTTAACTAGTGGAATTCATTATGGCAGTATGTGGTGATGGCCCACTAACTTGGCTGGCTTAAAAAAAGGTATAATAAATTTATGGAGGACAGATCCATCAATATCTGTTGGTTTTGAAGAGTCAGTATTCTCTTCAGGTTGGGGGACAGCATGCCTCCAAATACCAGGGTGACGGGAACAATGGCAGGAAAGGGTATGTTTCTCTCTTGTTTGGGAGCACTCCAGAGGCACCTGGCTAGCTGCTATGAGAAACAAAATCCTGGGCTAAGGTGTTCCTTTTAGTTCCTTATGTTGCTGTGTTCTTTTTTGGATCTCAAAGGCAGACTGAAAAGGCTGGGTAGAGGAGTTCTTCTGGAAATCCTTGGGCTTGTTTTGTCTTTCTGAGCAGGCAGAAGGGCCAGTTCCTTGTTCCTAGTCTACGGTACAAGAATTAATAGCTGGCGATGCCACTACACCTGTGGGTCTTCAAGATCTTATCATACTGGCAGGAACAGATTTGCCAGCCTCTACCAAAGTGAGCAACAAAGCCCACAAGGATCTAAATCCTTCTTTCTTCTCTTATAAAAATGGCAATGCTAGTGGAAGCAGGAAAGTATCTTCCTCTTGCAAGTACTGTTTGCCCTCAACATTGGAAATTTAATGATTCTAGGCAGAAAAAAATTCCTCTTGTAAAATATTTAGAGGTAATTTGGGGGGAGCAAATGGGTTCAGTCTGAATATTTTGCCTCAAACTATTTTGAAAAAGAACATTTTATAGCCAATTTTTTAATTTGTTCCAGTTCTTCAGGGGAAAGAAAACAAAGGATGCCAGGGAAAGGATTACAGTGAGGAACTGTGCAGTTTTCTCCTATGTTTTCATATGTTTACCTATGAGTGAAATTCTGCTTATAGGATCCTGTTGCTAGTAACAGGGCGTGGGTGGAAATAAGGCACTATTCATCTGTGAAAAGCAGCTTCAGAGGAAGGGAAGATTCTCCAGAGTAGCATGTAGGAGAAGAGTGCACCACCAAAAATCACCTTTGCCTTCCAGCAGTGGGAGCTTCTGATCACAGTCTCTTCTGTGCAAAAGGAAGGCTATAATCCAAATGATTGAGAGAAAGAGAGAGAATGCGTATGTGTTTCTTTGAAGGTAGTCACTTTACATATTAGAATAAATGAGATTCTGTTGAGCAAAAGGATATAATCAAAGAAATAATATTGCTTTCATGTTTCCATTTTTTCCTGATTCACAGGAACTCTTTGTTGCTTGTTGTTTTTCCTCTTAATTTCATTTTTAGCTGAGTGAATTTTCTATTGACATAGGTGTGTCCTTGTTGCTATTTGTTAGTTACTCTGGTTGCTGTTGTGATATCAGCCTTGGACCATTTATTTTTTACATAGAACTGCTTGTACAAGTCAGTCATATGTCTAAAAATGTCTGATGGAAATGGTTGACATATTCATTTATTCTCACCTGAGAAGAGAAAGAGAGATGTGTCTGAATTGTTAAATATCCTTCTCATGTTTCTATCCTTCTCAGAAAGGTGGCCATTTTTGACCTGTTAACAATACTGATTTCACTACTTTAAGAGATTTCCAGATTTATCCTCCTTATCCATTTTGTCCTTTAGTTGTCTTCTGCTGTGATTTGTAATAGCATTACTAACATTAGCTTTGGCAGCTCTGGTCAAATTATAATTGCTAACTTGGTTGTCCTAGGATCATGCGTCAGTAAGAGTGTTGGTACACATTAAACATGCAGTGTTGAGTATTTTTCAACTGCTTTTGTTCTTCTGAGATGCAAACATTATTTGCAAGTATGTAGATTTGATTTTGAGCATAAAAGTAAAAAGCGAGGAATAGATTCCTCTAGCTTGAATTATCTTTACCTGAGGGAAAAGAAAATCATTAGGTTTCAGTGTTACATGATTGTGTGTAACATGGATTAGACCTTCATGAGTAGAAATTGTTTCATACAGATTTATGATCTTGTTCAGCTTTAAAATTCATGTTAGAATATTTGGTGGTAGCTGGTATCTGATAACACGGGCAACTCAAAAACATTTAATTGGTAAATTAGTAAGTCATTGCAGACTTTAAAAAACCTACCCCCCTGCTTAAATGAAGCTAAAAGTGTTTCCTTGCTTCGTTGGCAATACATTATACCAGTGATGAAATAGATTAACCCACATACAAAGCTGAATATATTCCTCTTTCAGGAAATTCATTTTATGTCCCAGTTATTTATATATAGATAGATGTGTTGCCTGTCCAGTTGCTATTCCTTGACCAGGTTTGAGTGCCGGTCTGGGTAGATGTTTTCAAAATGGAACTGACTATACATTAAGGATGATTCCTGGAAAGCAATTTTGCAGCAAGATTGATTATGGCAAATAGCATAAAAGTGAAAGGGTTTTTCCAGTAACAACTTTAATCTAAAACTACTTACCTTTTTTACTGTGTACTGTAACATTATGAAATACAGAGAAATTATATGCCAGAATCTGTTCCATGAAAATTAAATCCTGTGAAATGCTTTAGAAGCACAGCAAATTGTTTTGGGTAGTTCTTATCTACAAAGACCTTCACACAACTCTGCATGATGACAGAATGATACAAATTACTGAGCTGTGCATTTTATTGTATTTGGGGCATATTGACCAACCTGACATTTAAGCACTAATTTACTCACTGTAGTCAACCAAGAACTGCATGCTTGTTCATGGACATGCCGTATTCCTCTGTGTCTATGAGAGGATTAAAGAAAGAAAAGTGTTATGAGAAGGAAAGCTTCTTTTCCGTGCCCAGTTTATAAATGCAGTTCTTTATTCATTCTCTGCCAGCAGCATAGAATTTGCTTTAAGCTTAAAATTCTTAGAGATACCTTTCTTCAGGGCTTCCGGTTTACATTCAGGAAAATCTTAACATTAAATATGCAGTTAAAATAAAGCTTTTGAAGTTTAATTTAAAAAAATAATAAAAACAAAGAAGGCCAACCTGTTATAGTGCAAGAAGTTGATAATCTATTGTTAGATATTTATGATCCTGTTTAATAATTTCAACCACCAGTTATTTCCTAACTTACCGGACTTTTTTGTTTCTGTTGTAGCTCCTGTTATTAGCAAATTTAACCGAAGAGTATCAGGTCAGTATTCTTTTATTATATAATTCAAATAATGTTTCAGTGATTACTTTACCTAATAGTAAAGAAAGAATTTTGCAAAAATTAACAAACCCAGATTTGAAAAATTGGTTCACTTTGTATAGCTGGAAAGTGTTGAAAAAAAAAAAAGTATTGACTTTAGGAAAATTAGAAAAAAAGATAAACTTTGCAGGTCTGGATTGTTTTAGTATGGCTGCTGTTTGCTTTACTGTAAGTAATATAATGTTTAAAACTAAGTTTATGGAATAAAAAAGCCAATAAAACCATAATGATTGACTAAACCATTCAGGCCTTTCCTTGAGCAAATATGTGAGAGGATAGAATATTTTTAAATCACCTTCACAGTAAATGTGAGAGACTGAGTTACTTTGTTTCAAATGCTTGATTTTTTATTTATATTGTATTACCAAAGGTTATATGCTGCTCCAATTAAAAACAATGAGTATCTTATATTCCTCAGGACAGTATAGCATTAAATTACATTAAACACAGAACTACAAACAGCACGGCAATAAAATCATAATACTGTTATATTGAACAATACCAGAAATTTGTAGTAATATAATTATCTTCACAAACCATATGGTTGAACTGAAAAATATTTGCAATTCATAAGTTTGTACCTTTCTGATATACTGGTTAACGCTATGCAAAGATTTGATTCAAAGCATCAGTATGAAAGTGAATCAATTGGATCAACCCATCAAAATTTGTAACATAGTACACTGTTTCATTAAGGATTGTTGAAATAATCCTAAATTGCTACCCCTTTTCTGGGCCCAAGTACAGTATAAAAACTTTATATTGAAATTATGGTACAGTTTTAATTTGGATTTACTCTTAATGTAGCAGAATTAAAGCTGTCTATTGTTTAAGCTTTTATTATTCATAAACTGAATTTTAGTCATTGTGCATGTTTTAAATAATAATAAACATGAAAAAAGTTAAACTCTCCTTTGTGTTGAGTTTGATTCCTGGTGATTGCATGGAAGCAATCAAGCTGTCAACAACATGGAAGTAGTTTGCCATTGCCTTCTTTTGGGATTCTTTATTTTTTTTTTTTTGACATCCCAGTCTAGCCTTCAGTCCTAGGACTTAGATCCAAGTCTATTTACCTTTTTTTTTTACATTAGTCAAGGAATTTATATAATGCAAATTCCTCAAATCTAGGCATTTCACATTGTGATTTCAGTGTTTTCTAATCCCTAGGAAACCAATATTTGAAGAGTAGAATACACATTTTTAAAAAACTACATGGAGGTGACTCCTTCTGAGCACCAGCTACAACTGGGTACTTTAAGGCTATCTTAGTTAAGTACTCATATCTAGATTGCAGGAGAAGGCATGTAGTGTAGAGGGCGTAGGGAATCGCCTTAAAGGACAGAAGGAAGAGCCACTACCAAGGCAGTGGTCAGATAAGAGGGGCTTGAGCCTGGGCCAAGAAAATAACTTGAGAAAATGTCTCAGTTAAGCCCCCCCTCCCCGCAGTTCACAAGAAGATGAAGTGAGGGAGAGGGAAGCACATTCAGACTTGCAAGATTCTGTTACTATAGCTGTTATAATAGAAGTAGTCCTGACCTATATGGCATTGGTTTCTTAGTCTGGTCTACCTTGTTGGGCTGGCATGTAATTATTGTATGGATAGCTTTAGTAGAATTCCAGATGTTACTAGAGTTAATCCATTAGCCAGAGGTCCTCAGATTGCGGGTAATGACTCCACAGGGATGGTGCAAGCAAATTGGGGGTTGGAGGTGGGCTTCCACAAAGGAAGTAGGATAGCTGACAGAACTTGCTTCTGCTCTGCCTAGAAAAGCCAGGTTGTCTAAGCAAAGCAGAGAGAAAAGCCGAGAACACTCACCAACAAGGTTCTGGGATTGAATCCCTTGGGCTGAAGGTGTTTGGCAAGTGATTGAGGGCTTTGGTCAGCCTAACTAGGCTTTCTTGTGCCTTTGCTAACCTTCCAGAGAGAATGAGGGAGGTGGCAATGAATGCTGGGGATCAATCCGGGTCTTCAGTTTCAGAAGTGGAAGACTTTGACCAATCTGAGTCCCAGCCTACATCACAGGAATTACCTGAAGGGAATACACCTGAGGATCTTAAGCTAGGCAAGTCCCAAGCCCAGCAACATATTGCAGATTAAGAAGAGAAGAGCAAAGGAATCAAGCCATTTACTTGAAGAAGTGTGATTCAGCCAATTATATAAAAGAGATGACTTGTGTTATTGGCTCTTTGTAGCAGACAACTTTTAAATTTCCTATCTATATACTGTTGTTGGATTACCTGGAACCTTGGACTGGAAAGACTATTCTTGGATCTTCTTGAACCTGATATTTGTCTCTGTGGACGTTTTTGCTAAAGTAAGCACTTCTATTTATTTGCTATGCAGAAAGCCTTGAGTTTGTAGTGTGTTCTGGGTTACTGTGGTCTGCAATTAATTGAATTCACTATCAGAAGCTGACTGTGGGTATTTAACTGGCAGTACAAAACAGTGTGGTTGGAGGAGCTCCAGGCATGGTGAGTGACCTGGAAAAAGCTGGATGCCTCCTGTCGTGCTATGTGAAGAGCATGCCTAATCCATCATCCCCAGCATGATCTATCTCCACCACAATGGCAAGAAAGAGGGGCCAAGCACAAGGAGTTCCAGGTAGACTCAAGGCAAAGCTGGCCAGTGGTGGAGATTTGCAGGCTTAAGTGCTGATTTTGGGACTTTGAAGTGGGGCTGTGGTTGGCAGCCTTCTGGTCCTCACTTCTGTCATACGTATAGCCCAGGATAAATGCCCAGTTACCCTTTTCCCTCTGCTCTACCTGGACAAGCCAGCTACTCAAGCAAAGCTTATTTAGAAGAGGAACAAGTTTTAACAGAGCCCTGAAGATCTGGATCCCTGTTAAATTGCACTTTGGTCTCTACTTTGCTTAGGCAAGCTGACACTGATTCTGTTTTGTACATGCAAGCCATCGGCATACCCTAATCCATTCACAGAGTGTGAGGAATATATTCTTAAAGAGCTGGATTGCTCTCTTGGCATAGTCAAGGTTCTGGATTCTTTTTTGTAGTCCCTGCTATTTATTATTAACCTACAGAAAAATTGGTCAGGGAAATGGTTTTTACATTTTTAAAAATACATTTCAAAGAATTGAATAGCAAATAAGAAAAGTAACAGCTTGTTTTTTGCAGTCCACAAATAGGCACAGAACTGAACTCATTGAAGAAGCAAAAACAATGGATTCATTTCAACACAGGACATGATTAAGAACAAAAGAATATTTTTCTGGCTATGGTTTTGAGGCTTCCTAATGTTCATGCAGAGTACATACTTTTTGCATTTGGCAGCGCATCTGCAAAAGAAGCTCAGAAATATGAGAACAGAAATGGTCTGTTAACACACACACATAGTAGACATTGTTGCATTTGGCATCCTCAAGACTAAACAGCATAGCACCCCTGTCAGTAATGCAGTGTACCCTTTTACATACAGTGTACCTGCATATAGTGAAAAAAAATAAACCCAGTTATGAACCTGTTCTCAGAAGTCTATCTTTCCTGCCTTCTGCATTGTTTTCAGGCACTGCATTTTCTGTGTTTAGAAAATCTGTAAAGTGACACCTCTTTTGCTAGGCTTTTAATTGGGAATTGATCAAAGTACTTATTTATTCTTAATTTTAATCTGTGTTTTTATACTTTTTTGGTCTGTTTTTTTAATGTTTGCCACAGCACTTATGTTGATGAATGAAGAAACATAAATGAGATAAATTCCCCAGGTCAACATCGTCACATCACAATGCATGAACTATTGTTCCTAAGTTGCTCTTGTAATAAGTTAAAAGTATACATGATTACTGTTTGTGTGGAAAAGAATGAGAGAACAGGAAACTTTTGCATGAATGAGACTCAGATTGTCTCCATTGATGATTTCCAGTTGCCACAAAGTCCAAAATGATGCTTAATCTCTGAATGTGTACAGGTAGTCCTTGACTTATGACCATTTGTTTAACGACTATTTGAAGTTATGATGGTGCTGAAAAAAGTGACTTATGACCTTGCAGTTATGACCATCGCAGTGTCCCCTGTGGTCAAAATCCGGTCACTTGGCAACCAGCATGTATTTACAATGGTTGCAACATCCCAGGATCACGTGATCACCATTTGCGACCTTCCCAGGGGGCTTCTGACAAGCAAAGTCAATGGGGAAAGCCAGATTCACTTAACAACCACGGCAAAAGTTCGTAAAATTGGACACTACTCACTTAATGACTGCATCGCTTAGTGATGGAAGTTCTGGTCCCAGTTGTGGTTGTAAGTTGAGGACTACCTGTACTTAACAGATTCTATCACCCAAACACTTCCACATTGTGGAGCACTGAAGATGTTACCTAGCCAGGTAACGAAATGTTTGCAAGAAAACAATCAAGCTCAGAGAACTCCAAGGACTCCACAGTTCAACCCTGAGCTACACATATTCTCTTCCTCATTCTTTAACTAACTCCTAGTCAGTAGCAGAGCAGGGTGTGCTTGCTGTTTTACTGGCCGATGCCTTTTTGAAGTATGGTTTGGAGAAATGACAAAAAACAAATAAGCCAATTGAGAAACATTGAAACACTTGAAACAGTATGTCCCAGGCTAAGGTTAAAACTCTGGAATGTGTGATTTAAACTAAGAATACTTGAAATGTATCCTCTCTTTAATCCTGTAATAGAAAAGATTCATATCTGTGGGACAATTAATGCTGTATAGGTAGAAATTAAATTGTTCACCAAAGTTAATTTCTATCTGTTTTATATGTAGCAAGGATATCTATGTATCCTTGCCACATATAAAGCAGTGGAAAGCATTGTTTTATATGTAGCAAGGATAGTAGAGTTCTGAGGAGGCAGGATGGATGTCTTTTGTGGCAGGTAGGGGAAAATAAGTAATATTTGCACATTAAAAAAAATCAGTGTAAAAATAATACCATACAGATAGGCCTTGACTTACGGCCACAGTT